CCCAGGCGTTTCCATGTCAGAACATTTCCGAGCAAGAGCACTGGGTTATGTCAGCTCAGCACGGAAATTGCCTTGGGCTGTGGTGTTTCCACACTGACAAAACCACTGGAAATTGTGGATTCTGCACTGTCCCATTTGTGGAGAATTGATTCATTTGTGCTGATAGCCTGCATACAACTTGTCACCCAGTAAAGTCCCTGAGTTGCCAGAAAGGCTCTGATTGTTGCTTTGGGTGATTTATCCAAGACTTATTCAGCACTTGGAGCCAAGGCCAAGAAAATTCCCTGCTGTGCCTGGACCAGATGCTGCTCTCATCTGAGCTGTGTTAAATCTGAGATAAAACTGCTAAAGCTGAAAGACAGGGAGTGCTACCACGGCCCTTATTTTGGCTCCTATGTGTGGCCACCCTGTCCTCAAAACATCAGCAGGACAGCCACATCTCTGGAATGTTCAGCCTCTCTGATTCCACCATTTGCTGTGCAAGAGTTTTGACAAAAGATTGAGTGATTTTTTTTGAATTGACAATGCTGGTCCTCCTATGGAGGAGCAAGATGAATATTTATAGGGCTCAGGTATGGCATGAAAAACATGCCAAAACATTTCCTGCCCAAAGCTTCACTTTCCCCCCACTCTCATCCACCTTTATTTCATGTTTTCTGGAGGTTTTCCCAACCAGCCAGTGTTGCCTCCAGCAGTCCCTGCAGAGCCCAGCAGAGGGGAGTGGGCCACCACATTGGTTTTTCCTCTCCTGCCTAGTCTCAGGGTAAAGCCACACATCTCTAGGACATTATTTAACCATATTTAACCAATTTGCAAAGCAAAATTAAACTTTTTTTTTGCCTGGTTAAGCTTAAGTTTTCTAGTGGAAGGTGCTCCTGTCCACGGCAGGGTTTGGAACCAGCTGATCTTTAAGGTCCCTTCCAACCCAAACCATTCCATGAGTCTAAGGTTGAAGCAGAAGCTTTACTGAAATAAGGTCTTTGTCCATAATTTGATGGCAAAGGCATGCTGACTTTAAGTTCTTTACCCACATATGGGGCCTAGATAGAGCTCAGTGTTTTAGAAAGTACTGTGCAGGACAAACAGGCTTTGGCACATCTACAGAAAAGGTTGTGCAGAATCAAGTTTCACCTCAGTGTGAGTGATGAAGACCTCCCAAAAACCTTGGTACAGGAGCTGGAGGTGCCTGCCTGGGCATAAATCAAGTTCCTCTTCAGAAAAGAGTCTCTGTGGAATAAAAACTGTGTAAAGGTGAAACTTTGGCACAAAAAGACCTCAGGATATGGACACATTGTAAGAGGAAGGGCACAGGAGTGTCTCATCTACCCAGCCTGGTAGGCTTTTATCAGGTTGAGAGAGATAAGGAGCCAACCTGACTCAGAGCTGGCCGAACTCCTGCCTCCTATCCCAGCAGGAAGGCAGAGGCTCTGGAGCCAGCTGCCTCCTGAGGGAAGCTGTGTGGCACCCAGAGCAATTTAGCCCAAATGAAGTAGGGAGAGCCAGTCTGTCACTGCCCCTGTGGTTTCTCCAGCCTTCTTTTCCAGCCTCCTGCCAGTGCTGCTGCACATGGAGCAGGCTGAGCTGCTACCTGAGGCTGCTTTCTCTTACCCTGCCTGTTGCCAGTGCCCTCCGGGGTGACTCCCTGGATGGCTCCCTCACCTGGAAATCAGCCACCCTTTATTCCTCAGGTGCTCACCTTCCAAAGCAAGGCCTGGGTTTTTGCACGATTCTCTGGGAAACGTGCTCCTGCAAAGGGAGCACTGAGGCATCTGCAGGCCTCAGCTGAGGGAAAAAGCCTGCTGGGTGCTCCATGCTTTTTCCTTCTGACAACAGCAACCACGCACAAAAGGAATGGCAACTTTTCTGGGAGCAGTGTGGGACTGCCAGCCCACTCTGCTGCCCTGAGGAACAAGGACAAAGTTTCCACCCAGCTTTGCTGCTCCCAGGGTAAAGGGCTGGGGAGCTCCTGAGGGAGGCAGGAATTCAGGAGCTCCAGTTCCCCTTGGCACTGCCTTCATGGAGCTCAGACTCCTTCAGCTGCTCAGAAATACAGCTTTGGCTCCTGGATCCAGCTCTTCCTATGGAGGCTTTGCCTAAATCTCACAATGCCAGGCTCTACATGCCTGTGAACTACCCTCAGACACCAACCTGAGATAACGCTTTTCCCAGGGAAAGAGCAGAACAAAGAGCATAATACATGTGAAGGAAAGTGCTGAATTCCTCACTACCCTGTCGTGTGTCTTTGCAGCCTCTGGGACCTCACTCCTAGTCTTGGGAGATGACTAAATAAACAATCATTCCGCACAAGTTGCTCACTTCCTCACTCTGCCTATCACCGTGGGCTCCATCCCAGCCATTATCTGCCAAGGGAATTCAGCAGGGCTGTAATTCCTTCACACAATGTGCTCTCACTTTCTTCATGGCTCCCAGGAGAGATCAGTGCCTGACTTCAGTGGGTCAGGATATCAAACCAGGCTTTCTGCTTTGCTTTGCTTGTCTCTGCCTTGGTTATCCTCTATGAAAAATAGAATGGTGACTGCTTCCTGCCTCTTTCTTTCCCTCACTTGCATTCCCAAAGAGAGGGTGAGTTTCATTTATTAATGCTCATGGAGCCCTTGGGGACCTGCAGAAAAGGAAGCTCAGTGTGAAGCACAACAGAATGTTCTACCTCACAGGATTGTGCTGCACTGTTTCTTTTCAAATCACTTACTGACATTGTCCAAAGTAAAAGGAGCAATAATAATCAAACCCAAGTAAAACCTGAGTCTAAGTCTGTGAAACGCAGCTGAGGCCTGCCAGGCAGCCTATTTAGGGAACAAATGGAATTTATTCCTGAAGGTGGAAGGAAGGGAAGGCTAAAATGGTCAGTTGGACATTGACCCAAAGAGTGACCTCAGAGACACATCCCAAAGGGGACAACGATCCATCAGCAGGTCCTGCTGCAGAGGAAACCAGAGGCATGACAATATCTGGGAATTTCTGAAGAGCAGCAAGATCAACCCATTGGATTGTCCAGGGACTTTGGGAACAGCAGTACAAGAAGTGGCTGCTGCTGAGCAGAGTGAGGAAGGGTTGTAGCTACACAGAACTCTTCCTTTCTTCATCTGGGAAGCACAAGGGGTGGAAAAACTGAGGCACAGACAACAGATTTACCAGAAGTCCATATCTGGTTCTCCAGAACCTGTTCTCCAGAACTAGAGATCGTATTCTATTCCAAACTTAATTTTGCTGGTGGTGCTGAACACAGGCCTGAGAAGACAACTGAAGTAAGCCAAATATACCCCAATCTGCCGTTTCTTGTTTGGATATTCTGCCTCTGGCAGACAGGTGACAGTCCCCATGCCTGGCTGTGCCACCCTGCCCCTTATCCAGCTCCCAGGCTGGCTCAGACAAGCAGGATGTCACAGGCTCCAGAGGAAAGCCTGTGTGGAGACACCTCTGTGCTCCCAGCAAAGGCCAGGGGCTATCTGGAGTTGATGTGAGGACAATACCTCACACATGGCAATTTAGAAAAATCTCAGGACCTTGAGAACAACTTAAACTTCCCTAAATGCCCTTTTTAGAGCTTCCAGAAGTGTGTTTATTTGGAAACAAATGTGAGAGGAAACATGCAGAGGATGAAATGAAGTGTGAGCTTATTTTAAGAGTATTTGATCAATTGCTGCTCAGAAAAACCATGGTAGGTTGTGTGTACCTGGGACATCTGTGCCCCTTCTCCTAGCCAGCTTTGTCACTGAGTTGTAGCTACTAATTAACACTTTTATTACTATGTACATCAGAAGGGTGAAGAGCTCCAATGTCCTGCAGAAACCTGATGGTACCAGACAAACCCAGCTTAAAATCTGGAAACAAAACTTCAGCAGGTGTTACCTGCTGACCAGTTTTTCAGTGGCTTCAAACACTTTCCTACACAGATGTTTTTTTTCAAAGTTCTGTTTTTTGAGCTTCAAGCAGAAGAGATTACAGATACTTCTGAGTCAGGTGCCAGTGCCACTGTTCAGAGCACTCATTTTTTCCACGGATTCCTTTGCTTAGGAGTGCAGGGAAGGTGACAAAGACACAGCTGCCAATGCAGGAAAGTGGCTCTTTATCAGTACAAGCCTTCTTTTTTCGCCTGTAGGCTCAGCTTAACTCTTGAAAGGAGGATTCAGTGACTAGAAAAGGGAAGTGACCCTGCTGTTTGTGCAGGGCGGATTGCACACCCTCCCCCTGAGGTGTCATGAGCTCCTGATCCCTGCTCTGATCCCTCTCCCTCTCTGATCCCTGCTTCCTTCTCTGATCCCACTCCCATCTCTGATCCCAGCTCCGATCCCGCTCCCAGTTCTGATCCTGCTCTGATCCCGCTCTGATCCCGCTCCCAGCTCTGATCCCAGCTCTGATCCCAGCTCCGATCCCGCTCCCTGCTCTGATCCCGCTCTGATCCCGCTCCCATCTCTGATCCCAGCTCTGATCCCTGCTCCGATCCCGTTCCGATCCCGCTCCCAGTTCTGATCCCTCTCTGATCCCTGCTTCCTTCTCTGATCCCACTCCCAGCTCCGATCCCAGCTCCGATCCCGCTCCGATCCCGCTCCCATCCCGCTCCCTGCCCCGATCCCGCTCCCATCCCGCTCCGATCCCGCTCCCTGCTCCGATCCCGCTCCCATCCCGCTCCCATCCCGCTCCCATCCCGCTCCCATCCCGCTCCGATCCCGCTCCCATCCCACTCCCTGCCCCCTGCCCCATCCCGCACGGACGGATTCTCTCTCCCCAGCCGCACAGGGGGTGCTGAGCTGCAGCCGAGTCCAGCCAGGATGGAGAGAGGAGCCTTTGTGCAGGGCACCCGTGCCCCACATTTCCAGGGGCAGCACGGCCCTCCCTGGCACTCCCTGCTCTGCCGAGCGGCTGAGTTACAAGTAAATACAGATAAGGAGCTTTAACTCCCTGCAGCAGAAGTCGGGATAATTCCCTCCATCAGCAGAGTTGCATAAACCCCACTTTCCCCACGTGGCACTGCCAGCAGAGGTGCTGCCCCTGAGGCCTTGCCAGGGACCCGGGGCATTCCAGATCCCACGGTTTTAGGAATGTTTTATGGCAGCTGAGCTGCTCCAGCATACAACTTAGTGGTGCTAAACGATCATCATCAGTTCTCTGAAAATCACAGAAAAATGAAGTGTGTGAATGTGTCAGAATGACACAAAACAGCTTGGTTTGTTCAGCTTGGAAAGGAGGAGGCTGAGGGGAGACCTCAGGGTGGTCTTCAGCATCCTCATCAGGGGCAGTGGAGAGACAGGTTTGGACAAAACCCGTTCTCTGGAACAGAGTGGTATTGTTGGGTCATTTCAGGGCCAGGAGCTGGACTGGATGATCCTTGTGGGTCCCTCCTAGCTCAGGATATTCCTTGATAACTCACCAGGGCATCTCTCATGCAGTTAAGTCCAAGGAGGGATTTTCCCTCTCTCATCCTCAGTATTCTGTAAAGAAGAGAGCAGAGAACACAAGGGCCACGCTGCTGTTTCTGACCTCCTGGAGTCAAATTCCACTGGTCTCTGCCTTTCTGGGTTCCCACATACACTGCCAACACTACAAACCAGCATTTAGACAGCCTATGCATTTGCATTTTGTCATTAGACTCAGCAGAGGAGGACAAGGCTTCACCAACCTGCTGCCTCAGAACGTGCCAGGCTGAAGTGATTACAGACCCTTTACTTTCATTACCAGCAAGGCTTGAAGGTGCTGGAAGGGATGAGGGGTATAATTTACTCCATCTGTAAGACTGTTCTTCCATTGCAGGCACTCAGAGATTTACACTCTCTGCAGGCCTGCCTGTCTGCCTGTGTGCTCAGTTTATTTAGGGAAGGCTGGCGGGGAAGCCAAGAGGAGCCGAAACCCCGCTCTCACATTTCCCTGGGCTGTGATGGCACTTATTCCCGGAGAAGGAAGTTTGGGAGTGACTCAGAGGCACTCAGACAGCAGAGTGAGTGCTCAGCTCCCCATCACTGCTGCTCTCACTGCTCCACCACGGGCTGGAACTCGCTCAGCGCGTGGCTCATCCCCGGAAGGATGGAATCATCTCTCCCGGGACTGTGCTGGAACTCAAATCCCTCCCGTGCTCAGCACACAGTAAATAAGGACTGGGAGGCTGCCAGGATTCCTGCACCGAGGTTAATGAATAAACAACCGCCTGCAGGACTCACTCGCCTCCTATTTTTAACATCTGTATCTTTGATTGCATCTTCGAGAGACCTCTCCATAAATAACCATTCCAAGAGATAAAAGCATTGGATGCTTCCTTTGACAGAGCAGAGATTATCAGCATTTAGACAGAAAATCTGCTGGTGGGCAAGCAGGCTCTTGCTTTTTATAGAAAATGTTGCCTTTATTGTGGCAAACAGAATGCTGAAAGAGAAGAAAATGCAAATATAGCAAGGGACATTCTGGAAATGGGAGCTCAGTCATGCCTTGTTTTCCCCATTTCTTGCTGGTGGGAGATGCTCTCACACATTTCCAGGAAAACAATGAAGGAAGCTCAGGAAAGTGGGCAACGTTGGAAATTAGGAGACCTGCCAGCATGCCAAGGTCTCTGCTGAAAATGGGATTTAATTGCTTGGTTATGGATGCAATTTTGGGAATATTAGCTGAAGTGAATAAAATAAACAGTTTTACAAACACAACCCCCTGGATTTCCGAGAGTGCCTTGGGTGGTTTGGAATGTCCATCATGACAGACAAGAAGGAGAAATCCTTCTGCAATTTGTGGGAATCCCTGCCATCCAAGAGGGCTCCGAGCACCTTGGAGTCATTTGTCACTTGTGAAAATCTAGGTCATTTATTCCCCTCCTCCTGCTCTGCTTTTTTTCATGCTAAATATAGAATGTATTTTCTGGCTTCAGACTGAATAAAGTTGTTAATTACACTCTTTCCTAAAAACCTGCAATTGAAATTCACTTGGGGAGTCTCTGAAAGCTGGGGAAGGCTATTCTTCTTTATAATATTCTTTTGACATATCTTAGAGGAAAAAGGAAGAAAGCCCATTTGCTTTTAATTTCTCAGTTTTGAGGATAATATTTAACAGAAGTAAATCCCTTTAAGGGCTCAGCTATGCTCTTTGAAGCTAGAGGGGAAAATCCCATTGAGTTTCAGTGCAGGAGAACCAGCCAGATGCTTTGGAAAATTATGTTAAACAATCTGCAGTGTGTTAAGTGATGCAAGAAAATTAATTTGTGCCATCATGAACTGCCAATAGGTGAAAAAGATGGGAATCCTGAGTAGAATAGGTAGGGTATAAAAATAACCAGGTTCTTTCAGGGTGTACTTCATCAATCATCTCCTGGTAAAGGATCTGGAGCAATTCCATCCTCAGTTTCTGGTGCTGTAAAAGCCCAAAGGTGTTGGTGTAACACACCTGCCTGCCAGGAACGTCAGGAGGTGTAACAGATGGATTGACATGCTGAGCAGATGAAAAGGGCTGCCTGAGTGGGATCAAATTTGTTATTAATAATGGAGCTATTAAAAGAAAGGGGTGTCTAATAACAGAGTTAATTCCTTGTTCCAGTGCTTTTGTCCTCAGAGCCCGGCAGGGCAAACACTGCCTCCCTGAGCCACAAAGCTTCTCTGGTTCAACTCTGAGCAGACCTGGCTCTGCCCAAGTGTTAAAGAACTTCTTTGAACATACAAATCCTGTTCCCAGCTTCCTCAAGCCTTGGAGGATCTCATCTCCAGTGTCCCTGATGGTGGCCAGAGGCGCTGGGTATTTGTTGCTCTATGCCCAAGGGAACAGCAGCTTCCAGGCTGGGGGTTGTTGAGGGAAGAACTCATTTATTTTCATCAGGGCCTCCAAACTCAGGGATACAACCTGCCCCAGCCATCCTCTGCTGATGGAGAGGGACAGACACCTCTACAAAGCAGTGCAGCCTTGGACACCTGTCTGGGAGGGAGGAGATGAACACGAGGGGAACCAACACTGGCTTTATCAGACACCTCTTTTCTGAGTGTCTGCAGGTGAGTGGGATGATCCCAGGCCTTGGTCACTTGGTCCCTCAGGATGCAGAGGACTGAGAACTACAAAAGACAGACATGTCTTTAAGCTCCAAGGTGCCAGCAGTGCAGAGAGAGAGACAGCAGCCTCAGTGGGCTCACTCCTGCAGCCTCAGTGGGGTCACTCCTGCAGCCTCAGTGGGGTCACTCCTGAGGCCTCAGTGGGGTCACTCCTGCAGCCTCAGTGGGGTCACTCCTGCAGCCTCAGTGGGGTCACTCCTGAGGCCTCAGTGGGGTCACTCCTGCAGCCTCAGTGGGCTCACTCCTGCAGCCTCAGTGGGGTCACTCCTGCAGCCTCAGTGGGGTCACTCCTGCAGCCTCAGTGGGGTCACTCCTGCAGCCTCAGTGGGGTCACTCCTGAGGCCTCAGTGGGCTCACTCCTGCAGCCTCAGTGGGGTCACTCCTGAGGCCTCAGTGGGGTCACTCCTGCGGCCTCAGTGGGGTCACTCCTGCAGCCTCAGTGGGGTCACTCCTGCAGCCTCAGTGGGGTCACTCCTGCGGCCTCAGTGGGGTCACTCCTGCGGCCTCAGTGGGGTCACTCCTGCAGCCTCAGTGGGGTCACTCCTGAGGCCTCAGTGGGGTCAATCCTGCAGTACCCCTCTGCAAAGGGCTCAGATGGACTCAGGGGCTCAGCTCAGATCTGGGGGGGAAGTTAGACCAGAAGTTTGGGCAAGGACACAGCCAGCTCACAGAGCACAGCCCCATTAAATCAGGCTGCAAAGGGTTCTGCAGCATATGGGGGGCTTCAAGAGGCACCTGGTTCTTGTCCAAACCATCTCCCCATGCAAAGGAAAGGCCTGAAGCTCACAGGTAGCCAAGGCACTGGTGCTGTGCCTGTGCTGGTGAGGTGGGACACGAGTCTCAGGACTGGTGGCAGCAGCAGTAACGTCAGCTCCTCCAGGTAACGCTGCATTACTTTTTAACTCTGGCAGCCCTAAGCTCTAAGCTGACTTTCCATCCATCCTGCAGCCCATTCCCCTGCCTTCCACATGCCCCGTACAGACGAGGCCCAGCATTAATGAGCCATTGCATACAGATGAGCTGGCAGCCAGTCTGCGCTGCCACAGCCACACATAAAAGCCAAGGAGGGCCTTGGGCTCTCTCCCTTTGATGCAGGAGCTGCTGGACCCAAGTTCTGTGGAAGTTCCCTGGTCTGGGGACACAGGCAGCTCCTCTCCCATCTCCCTTCTGCAGGCACCTGCACTGGGTAAGACACAAGGTAAGGGGCTCTGTTCTACTGTTTCTCCACCATGTTTCCCTAGAGATTGTCCCTTTTGTCTCCTTGTGCGAATTTGCTATGTCAGAATTACAGCAAGGGAACCAAAAAATCCTTTTTTTGTGGAATAGCATGTGTGGATTCTAGTCTGCCTTGTCACTGGCTCACCTCTCCTTGGACAGCCCTTTGCCAGTTCTCTGCAGTTCTCAGTTCCATTTCTGCTCCCACTAAGCACCTACTGAGGAGAACACTGCCAAGAAAATCTCTGCATCTACTGGAGTCACCTCAGACACCGAGTGCAAGTGATGGCAATTCAGCCATTGCTCCCCTCTGGGAATGCTGAGTGAATTTCTGACAGTGCCACAGGGCTAGAAGGGCCTTAAAGCTCAGCTCTGTGAAAAACTGGGGTGGGATAAGCTGGTACAAGCTCCAAGCACGTTAGATCTGTGTGGGAACTGCCAGCACTGCTGTTTAACCCTGTGTTAGCAGCAGCCACCTGGGCTTCAGAGGGACTTAAGTAATTTCAGTGTAACTGAAGGGCTAATTAAGTGTATGTAAGTGGACAGTTAATGAGCATCAGCTCAGGGTTTCCACAGCTCTACCTGAACTGGGAGGTGTTTCAGTTCCCCAGAACAAACAGCTCAGAGCAGAAGTTCCCCCAGCTCAGCTGCAGAAGATGCTCAGAGCTCCAGGAACAAGGTTCTCAAAACTTCTAAAGTTAAAAAAAGTAACCACCCTTAAATTCTCTTCCATTTTGGGCATGACAACATGTAGTGCATGGTTCACTTCCTTAATCTCACAGTCAATTGCTTTTCTGAAACCCTATAAACATCAGCAGAGAAAGAGAAAAATCTGCATATGTGTTAGTAATAAATTTAAAAATCAGGGCATACCACTTAAGGGTTGACTTGTCAGAAAATGGTAATTAAAAGTGTTCCAGCTGACAGTGCTGCTTTAATGAATTATTAGTAATGTTCTCGGAGAACATTTGATGAAAGACACCATAAGAGCTCTTGCTTAAACAAACCAATTTTCTGCATCATGCAACTTCAGTGCACAAGAGGGGGAAAATCTCCCTTATAGAATTACAAAAATAACCAGGTAATGGTTTGAATGATCACGAAGGAACGAGTGGCCATTTGTGCTTGGTCCGTATTTCCTATACCACAGCCTTTTTCCATAAGTGCTTATCTGAGAGCTGCCACTCTTGAGTTAAACTGTCCCAAAAGCCCACAGAGGTGCAGTGTAAGAGCTTCTCACAGTTACAGGTGCTCTCCATGCACAGGGCAGTGATCCTGAGACAGGGACAAGGCCTTTGGCTCTGGATCCCTGATCACAGCTGAGGCTGCTGGATCCCACCAGGCTCTGCCTGGCAGCATCTGGGGGAGCTGGACCAGGCAGCACAGAGCACATTAGTGAGGAGCTGGATGCAGAGGGCATGGAACACTAGGGGTGGGCTCCTTGAGTACCTAAATCAATTGTCCAGTGGCTCTTTGGGCCTTTTATTGCTTGGCATCTACTACAGCTCCTGGAGGAGGTCCTTAATTCCAGACAGAACCGAGGTTGGCAAGGAGACATTGAAGGGAGAGAGTGTAGAGATTTAGAAACACAGCCAAGCTCAGTGGAAGTGATGTGTGGTGTGGGGAAGGATGAGGGCAAAGGGCACCAAGCCTTAATGATGGATTTGTGTTGGGATGTGAAGGAGATGGTGGTGGGAGGTGGGGAGACAGGTGGGGGAAAGAGGCCTCCTGCCTCATTTCCTTGCCATGGGATTCTTGCTGGGTTCCAGCTCCATCCAGATTTGTTGTTTGTCCTTGACAGGAGAAATGTAAGAGTGCAGCTCTGGGAATTCACCTCTCTGGCAGAAGTCCTGTGGGCCCACCCCAGCACTGGTGAGCAGCACATCCTGGGGAGCTGTGGGGTTCTTGCAGGGGTGGTGGTGGGAAAGGCACTTCCCAAGAGGAGTTCAGAGCTTCAGAGGGCTGTTCTGGGTTTAGCAGCTCACCTCAGCCCCCTGTGACCAAGGCACATCCCTAAATCTGGATTACAGCAGGAAAGAGGGTAATTTGACATGGGAATGGAACTTCCCCTTCCCAGCCAGGCTGCCCCAGGAGTTCCCACTGTGTGTTCCCTGGGCACACAATCCCAAAGCTGCACCAGCACCACACACCCTGCCTGGACTGCAGCTCAGCCTGCCCACAGAGAAAAGGAGCTTTAGAGCTCAGTTCCAGTGCTCTGGGTGCCCCCAGAGACCTTCAGGAGTCCTGCCCCCAGAGCAGGAGCTGGAAGCAGCACAGGGCTGATGAGGGCACACCCTCCCTGCTGAGCCTCACTCAGGTAAGGGTCTGTTCTCTTCTCGCTTTCACCACTGTGGTGGTTTGAAAGCTTGGGTTTTGGTGAGGAGGAAAGCAGGGCTGGGATGTGGGAACCTGCTTCCTCTGCAGCATTCCATGAGAAAGGCAAGGGAATTTAACTTGGCTCAGGCTTTAATAAACTCTCCCAACCACTTTCTGTGCTGGGGGGAGAACTGTGCCCAGAGGAACCCAGAATGGGTAACAAGCAGCCAGGTACTGCTCAAAGCCCTTGGAATGCCAATCCCAAAGGGAAAACCAGGCAGTTATACAAGTGTCATGTGCATCACAGGGCAGAGCTGCTGCGACCTGAATGGCCACCCTGTGTGTGGATGTTTGTTAATATCGAGAGGAGTTCATCTCACTTCCCTTTTTTGTTTAAATTTGGGGGCTGTGTCTAATCTTGTCACCCTGGGTGAGAGGAGACGCCCTGAAGAACAGCTCCTTCAGCCCTCAAATAAAAACTGCAGCTCTGGTGCCTCTCTTAAATGAGCTGCCTGGGCTCTTCAAACATTTGAAGGGGTAAAGTGAGGTGAGAGTAAATCCTTCATGGGTTTTACACCACTTTAGTAGAACTCTGAAAAGCTCAAATAACATCCCAAGGTTTGCTGCATAATTGAATCCTACATGAAGTGGCACAACTGATACAAGATTTTTAAAAGCTTATTAATGGCTGTGGTCAGAACTTCAGTTTTGGAAGTAATTTAGTCCCAGGTTCAACTTAGGCACTTAACAGAAGCAGAAACCTAAAATAGGAATCTTGGTACCTAGAACTGCTTGTGTAGCTGATGAGCAGGGAAGTTTGAAGCAATTCACTTTGAAATGCCAGTTTCTGAGAACTGAGAGGAATTCTGAGGCATGGGAGTCGCTTGAATAAGTTCCCTCAGGTTGGTGGAATGAATCACCACCATAGTAAGTTCCATCAAGATTTAAGCTCCTAAATGAGTGGGAAGGATATGAAATTCCTGGACAGGTTAAGCTGTTATTCCCTGGAAATGAGACAGTGGGATATACATAAAGGAAGTCCAAGAGGTCAACATCACTCTCACTTTTCTGTCTGGCTCTGTGTGGAACATAAGGACCTCCTGCAGGAACTGCATTAGGTGCTGGACAGTAAGAGGCAGAAAGAGTTGCTGGGCACTTGGTGATGGTGTAATTTAAATACAAAGCCTTGCACAGTGTGGGAGCTCATCATAAATCTAAACTTAAGACTTTAATTTGCAAAAGGATTTGCAAATCAGCTTTATATTTGTCTCCCTCCAGAAGCCATCATATATTCCCTCTGTTTCACTCCTTGCTGAAAATATTGAGATACTATTCACACAGGACATTTTTCCCTTCACAGATAATAAACAGGTGCCTGCCAATATAGCAATGGGGCATCTCTTACTGTCACTCTCCTAAAATCTGTGCTCCATTCCAACTCTCACTGCAGCAAGCTGATGCTGTTACCAGTCCACAGCTCCACACTCAAGAGGTCTCAAAACTTTGCAGTCATTGAATTTATCCACCCAACCCCCTCATTCCTCTTCTATCTTATGAGCAGATGGGGAAACTGGCACAAAGAAGAGAAAATTTGTCCCATAGTGCACAAAAAAAAGTGGAAAGTTAGGAATTCAGCTGAGCTATTTGGACTCTGGGGAATGCTTTATCACTTGACTGCACTTCCTAGGTCCTGCAGCCAAAAGCCATTTGATTAGGACAGATTAGTTTGGTTTTGGGATGAGACCGAATCTGCTCCTTAAGTTTACTCCTTGCTGTGAAATAGCAAGCAATGAATGTACTGAATGCTGGTCTCTGACCTTGGTAATAAGTTGATTTAATTGGATTTGATTTTTCAAATGTAACATCTCAAGTCAGCCATAAACTCTGGAATTAGCATAGCACATCTCAGCACAGGAGAGATTTTCAAGTGGCAGAAGGAGATGAAGTCCGTGCCCAATGAATTTCAAATTACACTGAGGATGAACTCAGCCATATGCTTCTCAAACCCAAACTGTGCAGGCTCTGAGTGCAGCAGGCAGCACAGTTATTAATGGCTTACATTTGCTATTAGGAATGCAAAGTAGGTGCTTTGCACCCGGTTTGCTCTGACGTCTCCTCACATCAATGACCCATGTGACGGGTCAATAATTCACTCCGTGCACTCTGCAAGCCAAGAATGTCTTGCAAGTCAATTACACTCATAGAAATAATTAGGAGCACAAAAGTAACTGGAGGATTGGGATAGAAAAAGCCCTGCTGGTGAAATATTGCCTATCCCAGGTAAAGCAGAGTGTTCCTGCCTTTAGATTTGCAGCCTGTGTTCCTCAGCACCTTCCAAGGGCACTGATCATGCCCCTGACAGCAGGAAATGGCCTGAAAAGGGGCAATTTTCAGTGCCAATATTTCAGGGAATAATCAGGTTCCCATGTAACTAAAAGCTATTTTCTTTCTGCAGGAGACATATAAAAAAGTAGGACATTAGGCAAATAGCTGCCTGCTGAGATCTGATCCTCAAAATTGTTCTTGAAATTTGTTTAGCTTCTATGGCATTAAATTGTAATAAATCCCAGGGACATTTTAACCAATCCGTTGGGCACAAGCCGACTCTAATCCAGATGGACAAAATCTGCTTCATCAGACCCTGTACAAAAGAGCACAAAATGCCTTTACCAGCTCTGAGTTCAGCTGGGAAGTTCTGAAGTCGGGCCTAAGTCTTGGGCTGAGTCTAAAGGCCATGGCAGGGGCTGCAGGCTGTGCTGTGCATCTCTGGAATTCGGGCTGTCATCCACACCTTGGGGTGGCAGTCAGGGAGAGCTGAGGGATGGAAATTGTGGAGATGAGATTGGAATAGGACTAGATGTTGTTGAAAATCATGGGAATCAGGCCTCAGGAGCCAAGGGCAGGAAAAACCCACCAGTCCCAGTCTGGAGCACCTGTGATGGACAGAAGTCTCCCCAGGCACCGGTGTCTGATCTGTGATTGTGCAGCCTGGACTGGCTCAAGGTGGAGCATCAGCCAGCAGCTGCCAGGCTGCCAGGGAGCTGCTGCAGCTCAGGAGAGCAGGGCCAGGGGGCAAGAGGGGAGCAGGGAAAATCGACAGGTAGTGCCTGATGTGCTTCAGTGTCAGCTCAGCTCATCACATGGGTAGACACTTAAAGGAATTCACAAGGCAGAAAACCTGTATTATCCAATGGAAAAGTGCATCTATTCAGGAATGCAATTAATCTTTCTCTTTTGAGCAATTCTGTGGGATCACCAGAGGTTTCTTTGCTTTCTGGATGTACAGTGAGGATTAAGAGGATGCATTCTTCCCCCCAGATGCTCCCATTCCCTGTGGTGCCACTGTGGCCCACCTGACTCTGACTACAGATATCAGGGATGGTCTTTATGCATCTGAGGGAAAAAGTGATCTTGAAAGCTGAAGTCCAAAATGTCTTTTAAAGGAGAGCAAGTCTGGAATGATGTTCCTTTTGACACATCTGCTGGGAAACTCCTGAATGAGAGGCTGGGCACACTAAGAAGAACCTAGCATATGATCATGAAGCACAGGGTCTGTTAATATTCCTAAGAGAATCTGATCCTACGTACAGAAATTCAGGAAACGAGGACAACTTGATTGCAAAACAAAGCCAAATGCAAGTAACAGCAGGGCAGAACAGACACAACAGTAACAGAAGAACTAAAAGTAGAAAAGCCCTCTGTAAACTGTTTATTTGTGGGATTTACTATGAGACTATGGTTATTTAATTAAGGGGATGGGTGGTGCTAACTCAGAACTCAGGCTGCAGTGCAGCCTTTCATCCCTGGCAAGTGAGACAGGCAGAGCTGGAAAATGCTTCACACACAGTTCAGTGATATAAATGATACAAGGGAAGAGCTCCACAAACACTTTGATCTTGAGAGAAAGCCTTCCTCACTTCGTTCTGTGTTTACCTGAAGAAAGGGATAAAATGTGAAAGAACTGCCTTCTTGGGAAACAAATAGCAATAAATTCTATTTATAGCACAACACTGCTCCTGAAAGATCTCAGAATCCCTGACAGCTGTGCCCAGGGATCACTGTGGTTACTACTGAAGCAACTGTAGTACTCTAACAGGGCACAGCAGAGGGTGCTGGGCAGTAAAACAGCACCTGGTGAAACCCCAGCCTCAGCCTTAAAATAGCCTCACAGTTACATAGAGAGAAATGATTCTTATTTCCCTTGCAGACAGGGACCAGCAGTTAGAGAGAGATGGAAACATCTGAGCCCACAGAGTAAGGGCCCCAGCTCAACAACTGCTGTTTCCAGGCCAGTGAATCCTCACATGAACCATCTCAGGGAGGCTGGGGAGTGCAGCTACCACCTAGCAAATCCTACTGTACATCTCCAAGCCTTTCCTCTCCAATCCTGCTGTCTGAGAAGTGCTCAGGGGCTGGCATTCCCAATGGAAACCTGGCAAAGCAGGGTTTGAGTCTGGCTTATCCAGAGCAGTGTGACAGCCTCTCTGATCTGCTTGGGTTATTGGCACCAGACCAGCACAGCACAGGGGGAATTTGGCCAGTTTAGAAACCAAAGT